GGGGGGGGGGGGGGGGGGGGTGAGTAAAGAGGCCTTGATGAGGTCCAGAAACAGAGGCCTGGCCTTGAAGGATGAGGCAGTGCGACAACAGCAATACAGTATAATGGTCCGTGACGGTAATGACGGACGGGACTTTCCATGTGACAGGTGCTATTCTAAGCAGCATGAGGGCAAGGCTTGGTGTGAGGTCAGGCCAACTTGGGATTCCACGCTGGAGATGGGGAGACCCCCCTGCTGTCCCAGCAGCCCCCCTGCTCAGGAAACTCAGAATTCCCCAGCCTCAGTTTCCCCGTCGGTCCACCAGCATGGTTAGTCAGCTGTAGAGTGGGGGAACGGCATTCCAGGCAGGGAGGTCTGCAGGTGCAAAGGCCGGGGGGCTGGCCAGAGTGAAGGCTATAAAGTGTTGTGGGGACATCCAGAGGGGTTTGTGGTGGGGCTGTGAGAGGGTGGAGAGGGGTCGGGCAAAGGGAACACTGGGGGAAGAGGAGTGAACCCTGGAGCTGACTGGGGGGTGAGGCTGGCACCCAGAATGTCTGGTTAGTCACTTAACATTTTACTCCATTTGATTTGGCCCTTTTCATTTGGAACAAATGCCCCTTACCACCCCACCACCACCCTCACTCCTGTACTCCAGGCTTCCTGGGTTTCTGGGGACCCCTGCCCCAGCCACAGAATATTCCAGGCCCGGAGCTGAGGGTCACCATTTGCCATCCCACTTGTATACCCAGCAAGGCTGTGGTTCAGGCAGCTCTTGTGGAGGGCCCAGTGGTCCTGGGTGGGGGGCCAGGCTGTGGGCTGCCCCGCCGAACCACGTCCCAGATCCAGGCCACAAATGCAGACACCTGTGTGTACACATCGGGGGTCTTGGGGTCGCCACACCAGAGGCCGGAGAAGGAGACAAGGCCATGGGCCCTGCTCCTGCACACCAAGGGCCCCCCGGAGTCCCCCTGGGGAGAAGGGAAAGGCAAGGTCAGGGTCCCTCTCTGGGTCCCATTTTCCCCAAAGGAGTTTCTCCAGGTCATGTGATCACACACACACACACACACACACACACACACACACACACTTTTGTTTCCTTGCTGGCTGGCAGGTACAGACATGAAATGCTGGACCTTGGATTTGTCAGCACCACGCTCTCACCAGCTGGGCTAACCGGCCAGCCCCAATCACCATCCTTCCTCAGAACCCTTCCATGACGCTCTAGTGCTCTTAAAGTGAAAAACTAAACCCACCCCTCTGCCTTCAAGGCCCTGAGGACCCAGCCCCACCCACCTCTCTGCCTTTCTCTGCTCATAACTCGCTTGGTCCTGACCACATCAGCCTCCTCTCTGTTGCGGCCTTTGCACACCCTGGAGACTTGCCTCTGCCCTCTGCCGGACCTGCTTTTACAGACGCACAAGTCCATGGTGCTTTGTGCAGTCGCGACCTGCACAGCTGTACACAGCAAGCCTCCGACCAGTCTCTCAGCCCGGCGTGAGGCTCCTTCAAACCTCAGCTCCAAGGTGCTCTCTCAGAGAGACCTCCCTGAATGCTCACCCTAAAATCTCTGACCCCAGTCCCACCACCCTAACAGCCACCTGGAATCCGCTCTGACCCTATGAAGTAGGTCCTGTAAGTGTGGCAGTTTCACAGATGAAGTGAGTCCCAGAGAAATGAGGTGACTTTTCCAAGGTCACACATCTGGAAGGTGGCACAGTCTGGACCGGACCCAGGCAGCTGGGCTCTGGAATTTGTTCCGAACCTTGTCACTCTCTTGCCTAGAACAGAAGACGCTCCAGGCTGAGCGTCTTCCCCGGCACCAGGGCCAACGCTGCTGTTAGCTCACACAGCATACGAGGTCTTACGAGCAGGCGCTGCTTCCTGCAGGCCTATTACTGCCCCTTACTGGATGCTGCTTATATAAATATTCTAGTCTCCAGTGCTTTGTGCAGTGCATGACCTACACAGCTGAACGTGGCAGCACTGCATGACCCTCGTCAACTCTCTGCCGTTCCTGGGCCTCAGCTTCTGCATCTGGCCAAACATCAGTGGAACTTAGTTCTCAAGGCCCTGCCCTGCTCTGACCCTCTCTGTGGGCCTCGGTTTCCCCATATAGTAAATGGGTGGGGCAGAAAGTCAGTATCTTACCGAGCAGAAGCCATGCCTCCAGCGGTCGCCACTGTGGGTGCACAGCATGGCAGGGCTCAGCTGGCCCCTCCAGGAGCTGTTGCAGGTGTCCAGGCCCAGCACTCGGACCTCAGCCTCCATCAGCCCAGGTGGCAGGTCCTCAAAGTTGGACATGAAGCCCCAGCCGGCCACCTGGCACCGTGCCCCAGCCATGGGTGGCCTAGCATTTCTCCGAGGAAGCCTCAGCAGCCCCACGGCAGGACCCAGGACAGCAGAGCCATTCAGCTGCAGAGAGAGTATTGAGTTCAGGGCCACCCCCTTCTCCCCTTCTCCCCACCGCCCACCCACCTACCATGGCTCCTGCCTCAGTTTACCCATCTGAGACACCTGGTCTGCTTGTGGGAAGAGAAGATTCGCAGCCATCGTTAGGCTCTGCTGGAAGGCCCTCCTTCCCTTGTCACAACAAGCCCCTGCCCGTCAGGCCTCACCCACCTTGGACCTGGACCCTGGCCTCCCCCAGCCTCCAGGCCTCCAGTCGCACCTCCTCAGCTGCCCAGAGGATCTTTCAAACCCCATCTCCTCTGCTCTAAGCCCTCCCATGGCTCCCCATTGCCCTGGGATAAAACCTCTGGGCCCCCCTCCACATGGCACCCTCACGCGGCACCCTCTGCCCGAGCACTGTTCCTACTCAGCCTGCCACCTCCTCCACACCTCTCCAGACTCCAGGGTGAGACAGGAGCCCCCTCTGACCTCCCATGTGTCCCTGCCAAGGCCGGTTTACCAAACTGCCACACTGTGTCAGGTTGAGGGCTCTGGGGAGCCCAGTAACTGTGTCCCTGGTGCCTTGAATACAGCTGGTGCTCAATCAATGGTTATGGAAGGAATGGCTCCGACCCCTGGTTTTGGTGCTCACTCCGTGGCCTTGGGTATATCCCTGACTGCTCCACCAGCCTCGGTTTCCCCATCTGTACCATGGGCTGGGGAAACCATAGCAGGGGGGTCCTAGGCTTTGGGGTTTCACAAATGAGGAAAATTCACCCAGAAGCTTTGGCCGCTGACACTCGCCGCCTCCGTTTTATTTTGTTCACAGAATGCTGCACCCCCAAGACGTCCAGTCCAAGAGACCATTACTGTCCTGGTGAGTGTGTCTGTTTTATCTTTCCCACATTTGTAGGGCATGTTTGGGACATTTCCCCTCTAAAAAGTAGACCCTGAGCGGTGCCTGGAATTTAACTTGGGGTTTCTGGGTGGAAAGCTTAGGGAGAGGGGTGGCCCCTGAGCAGGAGGGGGCCGTGCGAGGTGAGCCCATGTGGTCGTGGCACACGTGGTCAGGGGGTGAAACCCACATTTACAGGAGGGGCCACTTCTCGCCCAGAGAACTCCACAGAGAGGCCCAGAGGGGCTCCTGCAGCACAGGGTGGGATCTGGGTTTTTCATGGTGGCCCCGGAGTCTCGGTCAGTCCCTCTTTCTGTGCCTGCTGTGTGCCTTAGCGGCCGGCCAGCCCAGCAGTAAGATGACAAAAATCCCTGTCCATGAGATCCGGAGAAGGCAGTACATAGCGGCCATGGTGAGAAGTGAATCGTTCAGGTGCTAGCAGTTGAGGGCTGTGCCAGACCACAGACAGGACAGGGTAAAGGGACAGCAGGCTGCAGAATGCGGGGCATGGTCAGGGGAGGCCTCCCGGGAAGGCGACGTTTGAGGAAAAGCTCCAAAGAGAAGAGAGAAAACCCTGCTGTGTCTGGGGGGAATGGTGCACCAGGCAGGGGACACAGCCTGTGCAAAGGCCCGGAGATGGGACCATGCTGGGGCTACTGATGGAACATAGATTGCTGGTGCCTTGAACGGGGGAACTGACAGGGCAGGTGTGGAGGTGACAGGGACAGACTAGCAGGGCCTGTGAGTACCGAGAGGACTTTTGGCTTTTGTCCTGAAGGAGGTGGGAGCCATAGAGGGTTCTGAGCAGAGGAGGGATCTGACCTGTGTCCGGAGTTCACAGGGGACCATCCTTCCCCCCACCCCACCCCACTTTTGTCCTGAAGGAGGTGGGAGCCATAGAGGGTTCTGAGCAGAGGAGGGATCTGACCTGTCTCCGGAGTTCACAGGGGACCATCCTTCCCCCCACCCCACCCCACCCAGTATCTGGCCAGTATGGGGTCCAGCTGCTTTTAAAAACAGAAGTCAGATCATAGTGAATGGCCAGGGACAGCCAGACCTGCCCACATACCCCCCGCCCACCCCCATGTCTCACCCGCAGCAGACAGATATCATTGGCGTGGGTCATGGGCTGGTAGTTGGGGTGTGTGACGACAGCCACGATGCTAAACACCTGTCGCGTGGGCTCTGAGGTATGCAGGGTGTGAGCCCCCAGCACCACCAGGCCCGTGCGGGGGTCTCTGCAGGGAGGGGAGGGTGAGCGAGGCCTCAGTGTCCCCATCTGCAAAATGGGGTCACAGCAGTCCAGCCCCTCCACAGTGATTATTCCACCACAATTGTATCAACTCCCGTAGGTGCAGTATTAATTTGAAATATTCTTACAAAAACGTAGTTACAATGAACATAACGCTTGTTGTATTTACTATAATTCCCACCTCAATTATCATATCAACTACAATCGTTTCCATATTCATTTTGGCCGTTGTAACGATCTACTTAGAACGGATAGCAGCATAGTTACAATATTTAGTTGCGGTCTGGATGGCTGCTTCTCTGCGTCTCTCCACAAGCCCCTTCTCTATTTTCTCTTTGCTGCCTGGTAAGTCTGGCCCCCCACGAGGATGGTCTCTCCTGCAACGGGGCTGGGGTCCAGCCTGTCCCTGCGTGTCCCCGGCTGCCCCACTGGCCTGGCATCCAGCTTATATGGCATCCCAAGGGGGGAGGCTCACCTGTCCCTGAAGCAGTGGGCGGCAGAGACCACCCAGCGGGCTCGCAGCAGGAAGCCCCCGCAGTGGTGCTGGCCCTCGAAGCTCACAGATGCCATGTAGGGCCAGGAGTGGGGGGTCACCTCATGGCCCCCAATGATGCGGGCCCCCCAGGAGCCTGCGATGGGCGGACAGCCTGCGTCAGGGGTGCCGGATGAAGGGCTCACGGGGGCAACGTTGGCATTGGACAGGTGGGAGTTCGGGCAGGGGAGGAAAGAAGTCAGAGGGAGACACAGAGAGACCAGAGAGCAAGCTGGAGACAGAGGGGCCAACACAAGCCCCCCAAGTGCTCTGGGAGGGGCTCCAGACCCTGCAGAACCTGGGCCTGGCCAAGACCCCAGCTGGCCCCCTCCCCCATCCCCAGTGGAGGCCCAGAGAGGGGCAGCCATCGGGGGCTAAGTAGGCGGGGGCCCGTGCGTGGGTTCTTCAGGTACCTGGGAGGTTCCTGGGGGGGGCCCCAGTACAGGGTCTGACAGGGCTTGGGTGGGATGCCTGGGGGATACTGGGTAGGGGGTTTGGGGGGGTCCTCACCAGGGGGCCTCATGAGCAGCGTCAGGACGGCGACCACAGGGAGCAGCCAGAGGCCCCAGCCTCCTGTCCCCAGTGCCATGGTGGTCACAGGCTGGAGTCTCCCTCAAGAGGTCTGAGGGCTCACTGTCGCCCAACCGCCGGAAAGGGGGAGCTGGGCTGTGGCCTGTGGTTGGGAGGCCTTGGCCCCGCCAGCAACACCCTGTGCCCAGCCGGGCGTTTCTGGGAAATCAGATGATTCGGCCGTCTTGGTCATTGACGTCTTGGCAGGTGAGGCCAAGAAACAGGACTGTGGATGAGAGCATGAGGTTCTGGGGGTCACCATGTGACCTCAGGAAGTCACTTAACCCCTCTGTGCCTCAGTTTACCCAATGCCCACACGGCTGCGCGAGTGTAGGCAGCTTCCTCAGTGCCTGGCTCACAGTCCCACCCAACGGGAGCCTGCAGCTCTCCCAGGGGTTGCAGGTGTCCCTAGGGCCCCCGCCCTGCCTCTCACTGGCCTGCGGTCCTGGGCATGCCTCATGCCCACTGAACCTCAGTTTCCCTATCTGCAACCTCAGCGCTGACCTCAGGGCTGTGAGGGCAAGAACGGCCAGTTTTCTGGAAAGCTCTGATTATTGTGGACTTTATTTATTGAGCGCCTGCTGTACCTCGGGCCTTTTGCTAGGAGCTGGGAATCCAGCAGTGACTGAGACCCCAGGGGGCTGACACTCTCCAGGGTCCAGATGCCATCTGGTGGGACACGGGCTGTGCCAGGGTCTCTCCACCTGTGAGATGGGAATTCTCCTGGTGGCCAAGCCTTGAATGAGTCATGCGTACAGCGAGCAGAGCACGTGGGGGCGGTTGGCACCACAACGGTGGTCGGCAGTGGTACGCTGGTCAGTGTTGCACTAGGGCTCAGTCAACCAGCTCTCGCGTGGGCCGGCGCAAGCCGGCACCTGCAAACCACTGGTGCTGGTTATTGCTGTCGCCAGTGGGGAGACACATCTGAGGTGCGTGGCCTGGCATGGAGGTCAGGGGAGGCTTCCCGGAGGAGGATCCCTGAGCGAGTTAGTGGAAGACAGAGGGGGAGGGCACTTCCAGCAGCGGTACCAGCAACTGCAAATGCCTGGTGGCTGGAAGAGGCTAGCCGATTTGGGGTCATGGCTAAAGTACAGACTCTGGTGGCCCGAGAGCACAAAGGTGGACAGGCACAGGCTGTTCAGGGCCTTGAATAGGGGGTCGAGAGGCAGGGTCTTCTCCTACAGGCACCAGGGAGCCATGGGAGGCTGTAGAGCAGGGAAGCAATGGGCCTTGGTGAGCCTCAGGGTACACACAGGTCAGAGGCTCTTGTGCCACCCTGGAAAGTCTTTAGTTGAGGTCAGGACCACCCCACCAGCACCATCAGTGTAGCAGCATGCACCCAGCCCTGCTGACACCTTGCTCTAGTCTTCTGAGAGAGAAGAAATTGGTGTCGTTTTAAGCCACTAAGTTCGTGGGAGCTCGTTGCAGCGGTTGCAGGAAGCCAGTACAACCTTAAGAAACATCCAGGAAAGTGGAAACAATGAGGTCCGCATGAAAGCCTTTTCCAGGGTCTGGGGGCAGTGTGGGACCCCTAGCATGGCCGCTCAGAGCCCGATGACAGTTTAACATTTGCTTGGGAGACTCTGTGGTGGCTTCTGTCTGCTGTAATCTGCTGGGGCCGTCAGGCACCGCTGTGTCCCCAGGACTCGGAAGACTCTCAAGTCTACACTAGGGGGTCCCCCGGTCTTGCTTATCTCTCACCTTCCCCAGCTGCCCCCCAGATCTGCACCAAGGCAGAGATCTGGAAAATCTCCCCCAGCCACACACCCCGCCAGGGCTGCGATGAATATTACCT